AATTCCTGTGTTAGACAGCAGCGCTTCTCAAGCAGAGAAATTCTGCTTTATGCCTGGCTGCAGTTTCAGAGTAGGAGTTACGGATCTCCGTTCCATGGAACATTCAGAAATCCTTTGTCAGAATAAGGTATTTTTTTTGGTCACAGAATCTTAAACGTTAGAGACGGGGTGGGGTGGGGGGAAGCCATGGCTTGCTCCTCCACAGCCTTTGCTGAGTATCTCCTCGCTGTGCGTCCGTCCGTGCTGCTGGCTGTGCAGAACCTGGTGCGGTGGGATCCCGACCCAGCGCCAGCGGATCGGGAGGTGATTCTTCACTGAATCAGTCAGAACAGTGGTTGTTTTTCATATATGCCATGCCCAGGGGCTCCTGCTGCCTGGAAAGCCATCCTGCACATCACTAGCTTGCTGCCTAGATTTTTTTTCTTTTTTTCATAGTTATTTGTTGGATTACAGCAGAGAGTGAAGTTCCTAAGTAGTCAGGCACTAGGCAAACAGCAGAAGATGGTCATTACCCCAAATACCTTAGAGTAAAAAACCCATTGCCCTTTTGGAGTTCTCCTTCCATGAACAAGATTAAATAATTTTGTATTTTTATATAAAATTCAAACACATACGTGATATCATCATCTGTTACAGGAGTTACTGCATAAATAGTGTTTTCAGCTCTTGCTTCTCATTTTAGATCAGTCCCTGCTGTCCTCTTGCCATTTTTGCTCCTCCTCTGGACTCCCACAGTTTGTCGATATCTTTAATTGTAGCCAGTGAGACACATGAAGAAACGCCCACATCCCTTCCTTTTAATCTTTCTCTGAGGAGAACTGACTCACCAAGTTCGGTTTGTGTGTGAAAATATCTCTAGTAGGAAGGATATTTTAGGTTGTGTAGCCTGGAAGGCTTCCTGACAGTTTGTTTTGTGGGGTTGTTTTTTTTAATTGTGGAAGTTATGAGAGAAGTTCTCTCCCTTGGCCAAGCAGTGGGATATTCTGTCACTGGGGAACGTACGCTGAAGGGTGGTGTTGCAAAGGCCTTACTCACTGTCAGAAGTATCGCAGTGAGCCTGATTGCGGAGGTGTAACCCATTTTTCAAGGCTTGAGTGTTGCTCTCTCATTTAAGAGGATGCATTTATGCCTGGTCACTGCTACGGTGATTTGTGCTGGTGTGGTTATATCGCTCCTCCCATTGTAGGGGAGCACAGAGCATTTACTGTACGTAAATTACCAGAGGAGTCACACAGACCAGGAAGGCAGAGTGCAAAGCCTGGTGCATCTGAGTGCTTTTCCCAGCCCTCCTGAGGTTTGTTTTTTTTCTCGTAACCATCACAAAGCTGTGCCGTGTCTAATGCTAACCTTGAGGGTGTGCACCCCCGGTGCCCTTACAAAAGGGAAAGGCCAGAACCGCTCAGCAGCACAGCCAGCTTCCCACTCAGGGGAAGATGGAAAATCTCTTATTGCCAGTGATTTTTGTTTCTGTACTGGTGGTACGCAGCCTTCCACGCTGCCCTGTCTCTGTCATCAGGTGGAGTCATAGACCCATGAAGTAACATCATCCTTGTGTCCTAATACTGCAGCAAGATCTGCACTTCAGCCAGCGATGATCTAGCATCTTCGTGTCTCCTGCCTCGTTTCAGGCAGCTGGGATGAGAGAAGGTGATCCTTTCTGTCCTCTCCCTGCTGGCTGGCTCTGCTTCTGCACTTAGCTGAAATGGAAGAGGAGGTTAGAAAATAATGTCAGTTGTACAAACACAGCTGGATCCTTAGACTTTAGCGCTGCCTTTTCTGCTGCATCCAAAAGGAAGCTTATTGTGTCACACTCTTGTCACGCTTAGGCAATGTCCTGCTATGTAATAGGTGCAGATGGATAAAATATTATCATTGTCTTAATGTCTTTTTTCCTTGTGTTGTTATGGGTCAGCATTCTCCTCCTCCTCCCCGGGATACAAACAGAATCCGACTGTTAGACTCGGTATGCTTGTGCTAAGCCTGACCTGGGGAAACCCTTTGTTGGCACGGCTTTTGTCTTGTTTCGGTAGAGAAGTAAACCCTGGAAAATCTGAGCATTCATTACCAGTCAATTATTGGTCTGTGGTTCTCTGCGTTCCAGTGTCGTTTCTCCATAGAGAAAATAAGCACCTTTTGTTTCATATCTAATGATGCATCTGGATGTTGACTCGTTAGCATTTTGGGGTTCATCAGAATCTGGATGTTGACTCGTTAGCATTTTGGGGCTCAGCAGAGCAAACGAGGGCTGAAGGGCTCTGATGCTTAGGTCAGCTATGAAGCCACGCTGTATGTCCTAAGCACAGCGGTGTCTGAAAGCTAAGGCAGACGTGGTGGCAGGACTGGGACAGTGCTGAGACTTGTGTTCCCAGGTTGCTAATTCAGATTCACTTGGCTGACACTGTGAAATGGGATTTTCAGGATGGGACCTGATGGATGAGTATCTCTGACAGCACGCTTTATAACTAGTACCAAATGGGCTTTTGTTGGCAGTTTCAACAGAGAAGCTGAGGATTTGATATTCCAAAGTACCAAACTCTCCTTCCTGGAGTGAATCCTTTCATAGAAGGGTTGAAGCACATCTATAAGGCAGTGCAGACTGCCCACATTTTAAGCATTCTGCGTAAAAAATAGAGGATTTCACGTTATGCCGTGATAGACGTGATGCAGCTTTTTTTTAGGGATGTCCTGAAAAGGTTACGCAAGGTGATTTTGCTCCCCTGTGATGCTGTGTTCCTGTGGCTGTACTGACATTGGTAACAAGAGTCCATGCACGCCGTTGTGTTGTGACACGTGAACACATCAAACTCCAGAGCCAGGGCAGGACTTCTGATCACGCTTACTGACTGCTATGGACTAAGGTTTCACATGGAGATTTTATGAATGTTGGAAAGAGGGAGTTTCTTTGTGTGGGACGTAACTTCGCTTCAGTAATCTCTCTCCTTCTGAGACTTTGTGATCTTTATGTGACAGATTCTGGTGCGAAAACTGAGATGAGTCTGAACGCAAGCTGAGAGTGCGAAATAATCCAGTGTCATTCCAAGAAATATTTGGAGATCTTCAGAAGAGCTTTAAAATTAACATGGAAATGTTGGTTACATTTTCCTGTTTGTACCACATCTTTTTCCTAATTTCAGGATGTGCAACCCACAAAGAGTTCATTTGTTTGTGCTCTTCCTGTATTTATTAACTAAATTCCGTTAACTCCAGCCAAGAACTGTATTTCTTTCATCTAGGCCTGCAGAGCAGCAGAGGTGCTTTGGAGCACCAAACCATGCACGATGCCATTTGACTTGCATGAAAAGACTTTAGGTTGTTGTAAGTCCATGGTTTTATGATGCTTCCAGGGTGTTCAGCAGTTGTGAGTGTGGTAGTGAGGTTTAAGTGCCACATATGTTTTGAACAGTCACTTGGATCTGCAGCAGCTGGATTTTAAACTAAGCCTTGAATCTTTTGTGTTCAAAAAATAGCTTCGTAGCTTAGCTAGTACAAGAAGATGTGATGCTACAGTTAGTCCTCCCTGGCTGCTGCCTTTTGCTTATCTAAGGTCTCATGAAAGTCGGCAGCAGGCACAGAGTTTCACCTCTGCAGAATATTTTACAGATGCGATCCATGGAACAGTTTACAAAATTGCTTTACAACTATCCGTCTGTGAGGAGGAAAATATGAGCAAACCTTGTAGGACTGCCACAGTAGGAGGACTAAGGTGCACTGTGAAAGTAAGGTTTCAGAGTAGATGTTTGACAGCTGTTTTTGTCTGCTTGTGGAAAGGTAAAAGTATGTTTTAATGATGATGAAAAATGACACTCTAATGTAGCATGTGTTTATTTCATTATGCTTCACTCTATGATTCAAGTACAGGGATGTGTGCTGGTTTTTTTCCTGTCCTTCATCCCCTGCTCTATACTATCCAGCTAA